AGAAGAAATAGAAAAATGACAGAACAAATAATACCCCAAGAGCAAATCGACAAATCAGAACATAGAGAGTCATCACGACTTAGAAATCAACCACGTAAAAGTTATAAAATATTCATCCCACAATCTAAGATATTAAAGAAAGTCGAATTTCAAAAACAACTTTAATTTTATATTTCACAGTCTTGAAACCTTTGAAACATTTTGAATTTTCATTTTTCAAGATAACATGCTGACAAACACGCAATGAATCTAGTTCAAATTTAAACCAATAGGATTCATCCAATCCGTCACCTTCTCTAACTTAAACTCAGATCAATTAGACGAACCATATAACACTCCAGGCATATCTATAACTATAACTTTCCGACCTCCAGGTCAAAAATAAGCAAACCACTCCAACTTGACAACTAAAACAAATATCACCATAATATCATAACCCTCCCTTATCTAATAACCCAAAGATCAACAATATTTCCCCAACTCAGACCTCAAATACCCCCAAAACAAATCTGTTAACTTAGCCTAAAGTAACAAAACGAACATTTTAATTAGCCTAAAGTACAAAAATTTCACCATACCCCGGATCATTTGACAAATAAAAATAAAGAAAAAGACGACCTCCCGATCACCATAAAAATTGCCCCCAACAATTTTTCACAAAGCTCAACCCACTTGTCAAAAAACCAATAAATAATCCGACCACACTTGAAAATTGCCCCAAACAACAAAAAACATTCGATCAAGAAGTCATTTCGTAAATGCTCTTCTCTCAATCAGTCACTATAATTATCACAAACCTCAAACAATTTTTTACGATACTTAAAACTTTTATAACATTTCTTTTTGATATCTTTGAATCTTTTGTAATAATCTTAATCATTTTTTGCAATATTTTTTAAATTTTCTATTCCATATTTGAACTATTCCTCCAACTTTCAAAAGCCTTTGATTATATCCACAGGTACGATTCACAAAACTTCTCTAAATGATACGAACTATTTTCAGTAGAACTGATATTTCTTTACTATTTGTAATTTTCATAACATTTCTATCATCCCTCATTTTTACCATATGCAAATGTATAAAGAAAGCAATCATCACATTCGCTCTAGCAACAATCCTCCTCATTCTTTTCTTAGAAGAATACTTAATAAACATAAACTTTTTCACTAAAAGAATAGACCAAAAAGCTATCAAAAAGCTACCCAACAGTCACAAAGTCAGTCTTCACCGAAATCATCCCAAGATAACCCAACAACACCTTCAACTACCCAAATTCCTCAAACATCTACACGAATTTCCTTTCAAGATAACCCATATACTTTTGAAGAACGACATGCACGCTTATCTGAACCACTAGAACCCGTTCAACGGCAAGCACCTTTAAGTGAACCAACATATAATCTATACCCAACACTACCACCAGAACTAAGTAGAATACGAAATCCTAGTCAAAACCAAAACACAATCGAAATAAATAGACAAATTATACATCCTCGAAGAAATAGAAATTTTCAAACTCCCCGAGTTCATTTTGAAATACCTCAATCCCCATCACAAAACACTCCAGAAAACCCCACTGGTATCTTACCAGAAACCCCTACATTTCTTTCACAACGTAGCACCTCAAGCCTACCCTCAGATTACTTAGGTTCAACACCAACATCCGAACAAATACGTGAAAATCCCTTCAATCCCCCAAACCAAACATCACGACTACCATATTGGACAACACATTCATTCACACAAGGTGAACCAAATTTAACCAATGACCCAATAGATATTTCTTCAGATACAACATCCTCATCACTACCGGAAACATTATCACTACCATCAACACCATCAATTAGCCAAATTTCACCGACACCTTTTAACTTAAATTTTCCAAATAATCTCGACGCAAGATATCGAGAACAATCATCAACAACTATTCCTTTAAGACTAGATTGGAATACATTTACAGCACCTCCACCACTATTTGGACAACACTTAGAAAGTAATCGCCTTCACAACTGGGCACTAAATAGACTACAATATAGACAAGACATTCACGAAGACATTCGTGCTCATAATATCCAAATACTCCAACAGAATAGTCTACAATTAAAATTTGAAATCACGGTTAAATTAAACAACATTAATCAACATCCCTATCCATTAAATCCACCAAATATAACAGCTCAATCCCTACCACCACCATTTATAACAACTGAAGTAATATACAAATACGACAGATATACTAAAAAGACAATTGGTTACATCACATTTTATAACCCATACTCAGGATTATCATATACATGTATATTCTAAACTTATTAATTTTTCTCCAACTCCTTTTTCTAGTAATCTCAAATCAAAACATAAACCCTTCCCCCCGCACAGGACAACGCAGAAGAATCCCGACCCTTCCTTATCCCACACGAGTTTGTTCAACCTATAGAAATCCCCATTTTAGAATTCATCCATAACACTAAATTCAATCACAAATTATATAATCTCATCCAAAACACACCTTATGAGTTTGCAGTTGGCACTGAAGAACTAACCACCATTAAAGCACTTCAATTGCTTTGGCCACTGCTTCAAACTAAAAATATCATCCGCATCTTAGCTAAATTACTAACAACTTCAGATCTCATCCACGACATCTTCCCCCACGGTTTCTTCCCCGACGACTAACAGGTAAGTATGAATTATACATATTATTAACTAATTAAAATAAAAATTAGAAACTAACCATTCTTTATCCACGTCTTATTTAGCATTTTAGCCTTCATCCAACGATCATCTGAAAAATTCACAAAAGAAAAATAAAAAATAGAAAACTTCTTCAAAACTGTTTAAAACCCTATTAGATTTTTGCACCAACAATTAAATAAATATAATACCAATGCAGTAATTTAATTTATAAATTTTTTCCCCCACAAGCAATAAATCTAATTATGATGAAAATTTGTAACTTAATTTTTCCCAACAAATAGCAGTAAAATTTGAATTTCTATGTAATAAATTGATAAAACGAAAATGCAGTACTAACCTTTTGATATTTCCATTCATTCGCACAAACATTCTATCCACACTCGCACAGCTCGCCCACGACGAATTGTTTAAAATAATGAATTTCAGTTTCAAGTTTTCACACTCAACAACTCTAACACAAGATCACACGTTTCAAACTTTCCTTTAACCCGGTTGGAAAGGAATTATATACTAAACAACACTAACCAACGCAGCTTACTAAACACCACAAATCATAGAATAACAGCATGGCTAAGAAAAGGAAACCAACGGTACCCAAACCGGATTAACCCAGTTTAAAACTGGATAATTTATTCTTTTGAAGACTATTATAAAGTCTAAGGAAGAAATAATAAAACACAAAAAAGTCGAAAGACAAACCCATACCACAAACAATTTGATTTTTGGAAAAAGGACACAACCAACAAAACATAAGAAAAACCACAACAAACACAACATAAAACGTTGTCACATAACAGGACCTCTCACAAAAACCGCATGCAATCATACTCCCACTCCTGGCCTAACCCACCAGAAGAGGACGTCCTGAGCATGCTATAGCCGGCCTAACCCACCGCGCTACATCCACGCTTTGTGACACACACTCCTATTTTTAATAAGAGCTACTCAAGGGTGAGTAACTCTTCAAAATAACTGAACTAAAACAAAAAGCTTTTGTGAAAACAACTAACCAAAATCATAATTAAAAAACATTAAACTAATAAAAGTTTTATAAAATGTAAATTATATTATGCAATATATAGATCAGCATACAACACCAAGGACGAACATCCAAAGACAAAACGACCCCACCACACTCGAAAAAGAATGGCCAACCACAATCGATATGCCGCTCACAAACACAACTCAAAGGATTTAGAGTACGACTTGACTTCGCAGAAAAGGACTTCATTGAACTAGACCAATGACCACCTCGATGTTCAAGTATACGTACAGATCCGAGTAACCAGGCATCCCCTCCACGCACAATCTCCACGCCATTCCCAGACAAGATCAAACACAAAGAAGTTCTCGACAATGAAACAGAAAAACCTGACATAGCAAACCATTCCAAAATCAGATTTGAGTTTGTTGCGAAAGCACAGTCGTTGTCGCAAGAAGACACAAAGTTTGATGTCCCTAATTCCAGCATCCTGGAACTTCTCTAACAAGAGAAAACGGAAAAGAAATATGATGTTCGCCAAATACCAACGTCCATCATCCATCCTTCGAATTGCAGAAAAACTATTCTAAAAAACTCTGTAAAACCCGGATGGGTGGAACCTGATCTAAACTACATTTTATGATTGGATAAATTAGATATTTTACCAATGTAAAGTATTTAATATTAACCAATCATGATCCATCTGACTAACAATCCACTTATTTGTAAGTGCTGAAATTACTTGTAATTTCAGCACCAGAGAGATTTGAATTTAACTTAGAAATTAGTTGAACTCTCCCGAGTACTTCAGCAGCCGCAATAAACCAGTATACCCTAGATCTATTGAGCCTAGCAGAGACTAGTTAAACAACCTGAGACTAGATAGTATAAGAGTAAGATTAGGATTGGTATTAGACTAAGAAGTTGCACGAATCTATCCGGCCGAAAATAAGATAGCGTGACGAGCAGACGGTGTACCCTATCCGAAATTACTCTATGAGTTATACCCATCGGTCCTAACTCAATAATATTTACAAAAAGCTAAACTTATGTTTGAAATATAAATTTAGCTTTTTGTAAATACTAAAACCTGTAAGAGAAAACTCTTTTTCTTTTCATCATACCCGTTTTCACTGCATACAAATTCATCAAACGCTAACTCCTACATTCCAAACTTTTCTTCACATCGACTTGTACCCGGTTTGTTTCTTGAAAATGTTCTGTCTAGTTATGAATGCAAACTTCTCCCGTGATTACAATATCCTTTTAATGGCGATGACAGCCTCGCAAGCTCATCAAGAATGGTCTCTTATAAAGAATGATCGCGTTGTTTGACGACAAGGCTATGCTCGTAATATATGCTAATTGTGTTTGTTCAAAAAAAAACACTTTAAAGTTTGAAAGTTTGATTTCAAAAAGTAGTTTGAATTTTTGCCGCAGATTGAAGATCATTGAAGAGTATTTGTTTTCAGGGTGGTCCGATAACTAATGGACTGAATGGTGTGGTCTCTAATGGTTTGGGAGATGGACAAACTGCAGATATAAAGGACTTGGTGAAGGATGCTGTGAAGGAGTATTTTGACAGTATGAATCTGCCCCAGCTAGCCTCCCAATCTTATTCATACAGTCCACGGCAGCAGAAGCCGCAGACGTTGGGCAATCCAGAGTTCAGAGGTCGGTTGAGCACATAAAACTACTTAGTGGTCATAGCAACTCCATTTCAATCGGGTTTGATTGTTTGGTCTCCATCATCGTAAGTCTGGTTTTAATGCTAAAGAGTTGACCTGTCATAGATAACTATAAATGAGTCAGCGATTTTTCAGAAATCAACATCGCTGATTTTGTCCCTGATCAACGGCCACTTATCCGTGACCAGGAGAGATTCAGCTTTGTTTAAAGCTGGAGTTTCAGGGCTGGATTCGTGCTATTTAAGCGCTAAACCAGGGCTGAAAAACCACTGCAATAACCATGAACATCCCTGACTCTTCACTCATTCAGTGCTAGTTCAGGGCTGAAACAACGCTGCAAAAATCCAAACTCTGAACATCCCTGCTTCTTCAGTAAACCTGAGCCAATCTAGACCTGGCGCGGATCTATCAATTTCTCGAGGGAGGGGTTGAGCTTATAAAAAAATAAAAAGTTTTATTATAGAATTTTTCGGGTCAACCTAATTGAATTTCCGTGCTCTCCTCTATCTAGAACCTATTTTTTGAAAAAATTTGACTAAAAAATTGCAAATTTTTGGCGCACTCTTCCCTCTCAAAGTTATTATATGCCCGGGTTGACCTCCATACACCGAAAATGCTTATCATACAATTCCATACATCAATTGTGTGGGAAAATGCTTGTCATACAATTTTCATACAATTTCTAAAAATGGTTGAAAACTGGTATAAACTCTTTTCTGTGGCTGCTGTTTGATTCTAATAAAACAATCTGGTGATAAAAAACTGAGGTTTTCGTTTTTTGAAAAAAATGCTTATCATACAACTCCCATATATGGAAAGTGTATGACTGGCATTTTTTTGATGGCGACACAAAGTTATTTTGAAAATTTGGCCCAAAATTTTTTTTGTTTTTTTTTTCAACCGCGAATCGATTTTCGTACGCAAACAAACATTTTTCGAAAAAAAATTTTGCATGCAAAATTTAATATTTTGTGAGCATAACGTAGTCCTGGATACGATAAAATTGGCTTTTTACTTTCTTTTCACTTAATTTTTTTTTTCAAAAACGCTGAAAATTCCTTTTTCTTTTGTATGGGGTGTTAATGTACGCCTTGATCAATGTCTGATAATTTGAAAATTCAAAAATTTAATATAATCATCATTAATAAATTTTGCCAAAAAATAAAAGTTTGTTACTTTTGTTATATCAATTGTGAAAGACAGCCAGATTCAGGTAGTTTTCTATGCATTGTAAATGCAAGACCGTCCAACCTTTGGTGTTTTGAGTAAAGAACTCCATAAACCAAAAATACTTATCTTACAGTTCCATACATCGAAAATGCTAATCACACAAATCCGTACATCAAATGGATGGAAAAATGCTAATCATACAATTTTCATACAATTTCAAAAAATAATTGAAAAAAAATCAAACTAGTTTTTGCGGCATATTGAACCAAATAAAGCAGTCTGGTGATGAAAAAAAAAACAATTTTTCTTTTTTTTTTTTGGAAAAAAATGGTTATCATACAGTTTCCATTTATGAAAATTGTACGACTTGACTTTTTTGATGACGATATCAAAAATTTTTCCAATTTATATTGAAGTTTTCCCAAAAACTTTTTTCGACGGCAAATCGAACTTTGTTCTCAGACAATCGAAAATTATAATTTTAAAAATCGAAAACGTAATCAAACAACCGAAAAATATAATTTTAAAAATAATCATAAATGAAAATTTTTGCCAAATTGTAAAAGTTTGATGCTTTCAGTATATCATTTAAGAAAAGATAACTCTTGCACAATTCAGGTCGTTTCCAATGCATTGTAAATGCCAGACGATCAGCCCTTTGGTGAATCTAGTTTTAAGTAAACCATGTTTTTCGTCACTTGTGCTCGGTCACGAACCCATCCCAAAAATCTTAAGAAAGAAAATTTCAACAAAATCAATTTTTTGGTTTATGAAAAAACGATTGTCCTACAATTTTCATATATAAAAAAATTCTTATCTTCGAGTTTTCTTAACATTTTCTGTATCATGGGAGTTGTACGAAATTGTATGATAAGCCTTTTTCATATATGAAAATTGTATGAGAAACATTTTTGGTCAACCCGGGATATTCCTCCAAAACTGATATTTCATAGATTTCTGCAGATTTCAAACTTAAAGAGGGACACATTTTCTTGCGAAAACTCTGGGCTACAATTTACGTGAATAGAGTGTTTGATTCCAGAAAGAAACAATTTTTTTCGCTAGTGACTCTTATCCTCGTACAACCTTGTATAGTAAAAAAATTCTCGGCATACTTGGATATATTTTTTATTTTGGCACTTCTGTACTGATCCACGATAATCGCCATAAATTATAAAACCCGTTGTTAGGCCAGTTGCATTTGCCGCTAAAATAAAATTATGTTTTTCCTAGGATAAAACGCAACAAAAAATCAAATTTAGGCAGCGTTAGTAGTCAAGCAGAGTGGCCTAAGCTTGAAGCGACCCAGCATCTCTCACAATCAGTATTGTGCGCTTGAATCAATGTTTTCGCCTTTTGATTTTTCAGCTAATTGATGTGGGTCTACACAGAAACTCATATAAATGAGTGAGTTTTGATCTTTTTCTGTATGATAGAGCAGAACTGAAAGTAAATTTTTTCCAAAAAAAAAATTAATCGCAAAAAATTTTCAATATTTTGTTACTTTTTCTTGCAAATATTTTAAAAGACTGTTCTTCCAAAAACTTAGCTGAGAGCCCAATTTTCCAAAAACTTAGCTGAGAGCCCAATTTTCCTGCATACTTTTTTTCATCAAACTCCAAAGAATATTCTCAAACTCAGGAAAATAAATTATTTCCCGGGTCGACAAAGAATTTTTGTTCTACATTTTCATGCAACGAAAAAAACGTTAGTCATACATTTTCATACAATTTAGAAAAAATCTTGTATGAAAATAGCAAAATTAGATTTTTTACTACACAATGATTAAATATAAGCCTTTTTTGCTGATCTTGGTTAAATAAGTTTTTGCCATGGCTTTACATGAAAATTACATGCTTTCTGATTTCCCTTTTGAGAATTTGTGTTTTGTCTACAAACACAATGATCAGGGAACTTCTAACATAAGAAAACCCCGTGTGTAAGCGGCGGTTTCCACGCAGCTAAATTGAATTTGGTAATCCTGGCTATGTAAGTAAAGGTTTGGGTTTGATTCAAAATCACATACAAAAAGCCTAACTTTTTGTTTACGGCTCTAGAAAACTTCTACTTCAAAAGTTAAAAAATGGCCTATTTTGTTTAGAGATATAGGTTTATCTTAGCATAAAAAAAAACAAAAAAAAGTATTTGCCATTTGTCTCACAATTTTTGCGTTTAGTTTTTGGACTTATTCAGTGAAAAATTCAGCTTCGACTAAGTTATAGTAACAAAATAACAAATTTTCAGGCAAAAAATTTATATGAGCTCGGAAGCGAATTTGCAATAAAAAGCGAAAACTGCCACGTTGTTCTCATCTAACTACGACGGCATCAAACATGTTTTATAGTTAATGCCAAATAATTGGCAATTTTGTTGACCTTGAGCAGTTTAATCGGTCAAAAACTGTAGAAGTTTAAGTTAATTAATTTTTCGGAAACCAATTTTTTACTGTGTGGAAATCAGTAATACGATGAAATTCGAGGTCAAAATGAGCAGTTTTAGGTTAATTGATTACGTTCAAGTTCGTTGACCGAAAATATTTTGCTTTGCCAACAATATAGCATTAAGTATAATTCAATTTTAAACCAATTAAAGATAATTTTTGCATTGTAAACCAATTCAAGCATTTTTTTCATAGAATTCATATATGAATTTGTATCATTGACTTTTCTTGTTTGAACGTCTACACGGCTAACTATAGATTTTTGAAGTCATTTGGTCTTTTTGGTCAAAATTCTGCTCACTATATTCAACAAGACCGCTCGTATCAGGGCGAAGCCCTGAATGTTCCGACTGCCTTTTAATGTTTAATAAAATGTAATAAAAATGAAAAAAAAATTCAAAAATTTGAAATTTTTTATGAAAATCATCCCCCCACACGCCATATAGAGTACAAAAGGATAGATTTCGCTCGTTGTAACAAATCAATTATGGCATATAAGCTTCTTCCAACTAATTTGGAACGATTTCTAAGACGGATTAAATCTCCGCTTACGCGTTAATAGCGCGAATTATATCGCGCGTTAATTGTCCCAAATTAGTCAAAATGGCCAAAATGGCAATCTTTAAACCCTCATAACTTCACGAAAAATGATCACAGGTAAAATATCTTTTCAAATATAAGCTCAGGACAACAATAGCTTTCGAATGATATAAAAAAATTCCGTCAAAAATGGCTAGTTAAAAAGTCGAAATTTGTCTGAAGAAAAAAAAACCCACCCCGAGCACAAATATTCCGTTACTTTCGTATCGAAAGTCGGAACAACAACAAACAATTAAAAACGCATTATACTAGGAAATAAAAAAACTTGAATTGTCGTCTTCATCTGCAAAATTTTATTCATTTTCGTCGAGGGGTTCCAAATGTCGTGTCTATCTCTGAATTTTCTCTGAGAGTGGGGTTGGAGCTTATACGGGCTGATGTACCAGAAAATGTATATCTGTAAGACCACTAGTTACATATTAAAATTGCATATGAAATTTTGAAAGGATCTGATGTGTATTATACGATAATCTCTGCAATTGGATAGGCTACAATGAGTCTGGCGAGGAGGTGTGGGCGGTGGTGAAGAAAGACCCCTTTGCGGAACTTGGGCTGATGAATACAAGCGCATCCAAACCAGGAAGCAGAATGATGGCTTTGAGACAGTCAGCGCCTCCCAACTCATTCCAGGTGGGTGCTTGATGTCGTTAAATTATGCCAATTATTCATGAAAACAAGTCATTTTCTCTCTTATAGCCATTATTTAATACGTTTTTTCACAGAGCGATACCTAAGCAACGGTATTGTCAATAAAATATTAATGAAATTTAGGTTTGAAGTGAAGCTTATGAAAAATTTCCGAAAAGTTATCGCATAACTTCCGTCAGGCAAAGAACCATTCATTCCTACAATTTGCTTTTTCTAAGCACTTAAAAAGTTTCAAGATAAACAAAATGGATGCTCAGCTCGGTGATCGTTGAGCTGAAAGGCTCTTTAGTAACCGCTCCAGACACTATAGAGTTTGTAACTTTGTCTGTAGCTATGGTAAATGAATTCAAGTTCAACAAACTGTGCTTGTTCAGCTGGCTTTCTTTTCAGAGATCCGAGAACCAGCTGTGGAACAATGATGGCGACTTCCAGAATAGTCTGAACAGCTGGGCCACGGCTGCTCCCAGTCACGGTAAGAGCACAGCAATCTCATCTAAATATACAGCAATAATAATTGTCTCTTATCTGAGTTTTCATTTAGAGCGGGAGATAGTGAAGAACCTACTGAAAAGACTGAATGGAGGCCAAACTCCTGCGGAATTCGCAAACAGGTAATCGTAATTATTCAAATTAACAAGTTTTTGAATTTTCCAAAAATAACCGAAAAACTGTACTTTTAAATTTAACCGTTTGCAAAAACATTTTTTGGCTATTAATGATGATTAAAATAGAATTAAATTGCTTATATCTGATTATAGCCACCAGCAACTTATACCCGTATCATAAACATACCTTATGTAGTGGGGCGATCTATTTTTTGTGACTAGGCGGGGAGGCGAGGGAGTGGGAGCTATAGTTGCAAAGCCCTGAAATGTACTATTTATATTCATCGTAGACCTTCGCGACGTGCTGCTAGTGCCATACCCGTGGAACCCTACCAATACCAGTGTGATCTGAGCATGTTCTCCAACCCGCCCTTCAACCCCTCCAGACACTTCACCATAAATCCAGAGTGGACCAGCGAACGCCTAGAGGTCAAGAAGATCCCAGCTGCCCATCTGCACCCGTCGGCTACTCTGAAAAACAAACTGGGACTTCTCAGAAGCTGATCTAATAGAAACGAGAAGACCAAAAATAATAAGTAAAGCTAAGCTATGGAATTAAAGACACGCAATGAAAAATTGAATTAATAATGTTAAGAAATGCTTCGCTAATTTAGATCCAAATAATCGTTTTTAAAATTCATACAGGAATCAAGAACAATGTTGTTGTGCAAAAAGTACAAAACGTTCCGAACACAGCTATCTTCTTGAATGTTTCAGCAAAAAAGGTTAAAATAATTAGTATAAAGAAATGTTTCAAAATTGGTGTTTTTTGGTCAAAAGAGAAGTGAGATATTGAGCTGCAAGACTTAGCTCCTCGTATCTCAGTGAACATATGTTAACTCGAGTTTAAAAATTCAAGGTGAATGATATGATAAAAAGGAGAAGAGTCTGGGGCTGTGCAAGCATCTTAGAATGCTTCAACCACACTTCATGTGGCTTGGCAGAAAATTACAAAACGAGAAAAATTTTCCAAACAACGCTACAATGGCAAAGAGCATGATGTCTATTTGAACGGTAAAAAACGGGTTTTTTTTTCAAGTGTATCTTCGTTAAATTGCTTTTTTGATTTTCCCTATTGAGTTATGTCCGGGAGTGGTTCACTCATAAAGTAATTTCAGATAAGATACACCGTCTGTTCATCACGCTATCTTATTTTCAGTCGGATGGATTCGTGCAACTTCTTAGTCTAATACCAATCTTAATCTTACTCTTATATCTCCTAGTCTCAATAGATCTAGTGTATACTGGTATTTGCGAGTTAGATATCAGGAACTGTCTTGAAGGAGAAAAACTGTTTTCTAATAAAATTTATTTTGCCCTGGTGCTGAAACTATGAATAGCTTCAGCGTTACAAATAATTGTAAGTGTTAGTTATGGATCATGATTGGTTAGTTAGAAACGTTTTAAAGAGATATTTTTATCAATAATATAAGTGCATATAAATACTATTTAAACTGATTCCACCCATCCAGGGTTTAGAGAGTTTTAAATTTTAAAGCTTATTGCAGTAAAGGATGGATGGAGAGACTTCTTGTTTCTTTGAGCAGTTTCTTTTTGAACCAGTGACTGCGTGAGAGAAGAGGGAGAGAAAATTGACCGTGTTTTGGAGTAGATGTCTTCATAGAGAGGAGGGGGACTGTTGTTCGTGTTCAAGAAGTGGGTCTCGCTTAGCCTATATCGTCTTGAGTGATTGTGTCAAGATGTCAAGAGATGAGATTGATGCAGTGATGTGTTGATTTTGTTAAGCTAGAGAGAGGCTACGTGAAAGATGAAGTTTGACTTCTCAGTGTGAATTGCCAAGTGACTAGGATCGGTACGTGAAGTCAACATCGAATTGGCCATTGTTCTTCTTCAATGGGTTGCTTTGCTGCGATGTTGGGTCCACAGTTCGAGTCCAGTGAGGGTTGTGACTACGGCAACAAACCAACAGATTTGCCACTTCACAGTCGGATTGTTGTCGAGTTTTTATCTCCTATTGCTGATCGATCCGGTTGCTCTAAAAAGTCTTTTTACATTGCATTTTAAACCTATATCTTGTTAGTGAGGTTAGTTTTAGTTATGATTTTCATTAGTTGTTTTCGCATCAGAGTTTTTGTTTAGTTTCTTTCATTTTAAAGAGTCGCTCAAACTAGAGCAACTCTCGTCAAAAATTGAGTGCGTGTCGTAAGCGTTGCTAAAGCGCGGTGGGTTAGGCCGGCTATAGAGCATTCTCAGGACATCCTACTGGGTAGTATGGCCATTTGACGGGGGAATAATTTTTCCCTCCCTTTGAGCAGAGTCTCTTTTCGTGTTCAATTTTTTGCTCTCTTTGTCAGGTGTTTTCTCTTTTTTGCTTTTGGCTGCGTCCTTTTATCACAAACAGATTGTTTTATTTTGGGTTTTCCTTTTTACATTTTGGTGTTTTAAGTGGTTTCAATGAAACTTGAAATTAGGTTTAAAAAGAATAGTTTTTCTAGTTTTAATCTGTGTACCGTGGGATTTTTTTTACATGCGGTTGGTTTTTGGGTGTTAGTAAGCTGCGTTGGTTAGCTTTAACTTACTTATAATTCCTTCTAACCGGTTTGAAGGAAAGTTTGAAACGTGTGAAGCCAAGTTAGAGTTGTTATCAGTTACTGTTGAAATCGAGTTTGGCGAGTTTGGTGAAATGTGGGCGACTAAATGAAAGTATTTAGTTAAAAAAGAAGCTCAAATAAAAAGGTGAATTTCTTGTATTCATTTGCTTTATATTGGTTTACTACTTCGTTTTTTTTCTACAGAATTAATACTTTTTTGCATTTTGTTTTAAATTTACTTCACTTGAATAATTCAGTTTCACTGTTGGATTAAAATTTTTAAAACCTAAATAAATTGTGTGTTTCTTATTTTGGTTTTAATCTTTTAGATAAGTGATTGGTGAAATTTGAAAAAAATATATGAAAAACAAGTGTAAGAAGGGTGAGTTTCGTGTTTCATTTTTGTTAGTAATAACAATATAATTCGTACTCACGAGGGTTCGGTTTTTGGGAAAAAAATCCATGGGGGAAGATATTCTTGATTGTGTCAGATGTTACTAGATGCTTAGCAAGCATGGGGATTATGTTTTTAGTGCGAAGCAGAGGTCAAAGAACTTCAAGCGCTCTGACGATGTCCACTTCTTCGATAATTGTTGAAAATTTATCATTCGTGTTTTGAATTAGTTTCCTAAGTTTATGATTTGTTGGTCAGTGAGCAAAATATATACATCTGTCGGACGGGATCAGAATTACGGAGGATGCCGGGTAAGTTATTTGGTTTGATGCAATATGGGAAATTCAAGAAATATGGTAATGTGTACTTTCAATTTATGAACATAAAACGATTAAGTGAGTTACGGGATGGTGAGTTGGTTATAAAGTGTTTTTGAATGAATCTATAATAAGAGTACCTACGTGTGGGTTAGTTTTGTTTTAAGCATTATTTCATATGAGCAGTGAATATCTCTTACTTTTGGTGTGAAGAAGTAAAATGTTAGTGCGAACTGGTTGAATTTATTGAAAAATGGCTCAGAAGCGTTGGTGTTTGTTAGTGCATGAGAAATTATCAAAGTTCTCATTAGTGCTATCTAGACCGAATGTATATTCCGGTTTAATGAAAAAAATTTTCGTTTGTTGAGGATTAGTTTTTGGATCTCTGTGTTTGTCTCTTCCATGTATCTAGTGACTGTATGATTGAAAGAGTTAATAGAAACCCGATTAGCGCATGGTGCTATGAATCTAATTAGTGTCTGGTTTAAGCCGATGGTAGGGAAATGACTTTAGTGAAGTGGAGTGGTATTGAATGAGGGAAGTACAGAGTTCACTATCTTCGAGGTTGTTTTTTCAGGGGAAATTTCAGTGGGTTAGTAAAACTGTAGTAGGTGATCCAGGAGAGTGTGGTAATTAGCACGTTTTCATCAACAAACGGGTTCAGTTGGTTTGCATTGAAAGTTGTATAGTATGTATATCGGGGAAAAATGTGGGTTGTGAGTTTAAAATTCTGGGGTGTTAGTGTGTTGTGGGTGGTGGGAATATAATCGTGATGAACGTGGACGACTAAAAGGTAATTAAGGTGTGGTGTTAAGATGCTTTCGTTTAAAAAGTCTTTGTGCTCTAGTCGGTGCAATATGAACAGAATGAGTTGAGGTATCCAATGTTGAGGCTAAGTGGGTTAGCTGGTGATTTGTTAATGCGTTATTTGTGTCATTTGGGTGTTGTTTTTAAGTTATAAAATTACTAGTGCATGCTAAAGATGATTTTCGGTCATGGGGCTAGATGCGTCGGGTTGGTTACTTGACATTGGTTAAGGATAGCTACACTGTATGAAGAGGGGGAGGGAAAGGTTGAATTGAGATGCTGGGAAACAATGGGTTGGAAAGGTGGTTGGGAAAAGTTTGTAAGGCTAGGTTCTGAGTCAAGGAAATTGTCAGACGTTTCTTCATCAGAATTATTGAAGTTAGATCTGCTGTTAAAAACTGTTTGGATTCAATCTTCTGAGTCTGTGCGTGGTGAGTTCGAGAGGAGTGGCGTTGGAGGTTTGATGGATAGGAAAGGGAACGTTTGAAGGATTCAATCTGTCGGCTCATCGTGGAATAAAAAGTTGATTGTTTTGAGAACAAAATTTTTTTGTATGTGGTTGATCTACAATTTGTTCATAGGTGTCGTCAATGTTCGGTTGATGAAGTGTTATATGAAGTATTGGACCTCGTGGGAAATTACTACCTTGAGAGGTTTGTTCAGTAGTTACGAGTGTGTTCGTATAATTTTGTGGAACTAAAGATAAATGGTGATTATTATGTAAGCTGTGTCGATATGGTGGTGCTGTAGGTGTTGAATTTGTATTGTCTTGTGGAGTGTCATATATGTTTAGTTTTTTTTGCAGATAATTTTTTTTTACATTCGCTATTCTGTGCGTCGAGGAGGATTTTTTGAATTGAGTTGGAAAATGTTCCAAGAACTCCTGCAAATAGAGTGCTTGCTACACTTGCTTGTCTTTTAACTTGTGTATGTATTGCGCATGTATTATAGTTTCCTTTTATTAATTTTTTTATATATAGTAGGTCCATCCTAAAAAGCTAGGATTTCGTTTTTGGTATTGACACAACAAAAAACAATAATTGGCGAAAAATCTAGTGCACGGTATTTTTCGCCTTTGAAATATATATAGTGTGTAATTTTTTCAAGATACCTGCTGTAGTCGTGTCCATAAATCATAAATATCTGAGAAGCCTCTTGTTTTAGCTAATTTTCGTATGCTTTGGTCGACTGATTGTCTTTATGTTGGATCCATTTTAATGAGAATTTCTTCAAGTTGTTGTTATCGAATGAATGTGATGTTGTGTGTCGGAATTAAAGTGAATACGTTTTGATTGTAGGTCGATCTTTGGGTTACGAGCAATTGCACGCATCTTGGATGAAAATTTCTTTAGAGGTGGCATCAGTGTATGATATGGGGTGAGAAGAAAAAATTTTAATAGTTATCTTCGTTTGGAATTAGAAGCTGTACTACATTGTGGCTAATTTCAGATCCACACTGGACAGCTGTATCACCAAAGGGGGTGCGTCGTGATAGTGTATCTACAAAATGTTCTTTATTTTCGTATAATTTAGGTATTCGTTGGTAACATCTTTT